GCTGATCATGGGAAATTTTATCCAAGCCGTGATTGGATAAAAATAATAAGATTAGATAATAGGTTACCTATTACTCTCTACAAATTATGCTGCCCTTTTTAGTATACTTGAAAGAGTTCAGTTACTCGGTCCGGTCAAAATCTAATCTCTACAGATTATGATGTTTAAACGCACCTCTCCATTATACTTCCCAACAACAAGTACTTCATATTCGGGCACCAGGAGAGAAGATGCGGGTGCTGAGTTAAGATTGATTGAGCGAATCACCCGGGCATTGATCCTGAATTGATTGATTGATTGAGGGCATTGATTATATGGGAATGCTTGTACGAGAAGTCATTTTCTCTTGATATTTTATTTTTGAAATTATTTCTGAAGTATTGTCATTGTTTATATTTTCAGATAAAAGATCGGCTTCTCAATGACTTGTGATGCTCGACCCAATATTTACAAAAGTTTTGGGGTAAATGTTAGTATTTAAATTTTGAGTTACTGAATTCATTATCAAGTGCTGATTGTCTTGGTAAGCTGTACTGCAGTGGAAAAATTTCACCTGTACTTTTTGCTCTTAGCAATGCACACTTTCTGGCTTTGTCTTTCGTCATAGATTCGTCATTTTCATATAAACTCATATGGGAAACAAGAAAAACTATTCGTTCACGTGTGCCAAAAGCTTGCGTTTATGAGAACACAAAGTACAAAACCTAGCGGCTGAAGCAAAAAATATTAGGTTGATGCAAAAGTCTTTTTCATTTTTTTCGTACTTCTTTTGAAAAATAACAAAGTCATCAATTAACCTATGGTTTGCTCTAAATGAAAAGTGTTTATTGTTCAATTTCCCATCTTTTTAAGTCAATTTGGGTTCACTTTCAAGCAAATTCGAGAGTGAAAACGGGTTTTTCATAAAAATCTATAAAAACCTCTATAAAGAAATTGGCTGAATCAATTTCTCTGAAAATCTGAAAAAATATCTAACTTTTTGTGCTCTATCTTTTATTTATTAACATCAAGATTGGTTTCCTTAGCTAAAGCGTCTAAAATGCATCATCGAGCCGTCGCCTTTTTTGACTACCCGACTTCAGGCTCTCAAAAAAATCTAGACATAAGACATTTTAAACTCGTTTTAATGTCATTTTGCAGAAAAATAATTGGCCTTTCGAATGCAATAAACCGTTGTTCAATTGGTGCATTTGTTACTTTTTAACGGAAGTACGAAAAAAAATGAAAAAGACTTTTGCATCAACCTAATATTTGCAATGAACGTGTGATTTCATAGTTTTTTTTTACAGAGTGTAGTTTTACACTTACAATTAGATTAAATTATCTTTTATGTTAAGCAATTGCAGCTATTGTATTGTTATTGCAACTTTTTATCTACTTTTATGCCATATTTCTTACTTGCACAATCTCTCCAGCGTCGACTCATGAGCTGGCGGTGCCGGGAGTTTCGAGCTTCGATTCTGAAATCTTTCATTCTAGAAAGCCGGTTGTTTTTAACAAAAAATGATAGCCATTATTATAAATATATTAATTTTTTTTGCGCTTTTTCAATTGTTTAACAGATAACATCTAAAAAACTCACCCCAACACTTCCTTTCCTCCCAACTTGCGGACTCTCCGGAGTTCACGGATAAAACATCAAGCACATCTAGCATTTCATCTAAATTTTGGGAGTGGGACAAATGCGACCTTTTTGCGCACCCGGACATTTGCGCACCTTTTTTCGCACCTTGCCCATTAGCGCACCTTTTTCGCGTTAAAAAGCTCTAAAAGCTAATATTAACCAATTTCGATTCCAAAAGTTGTTTTTCTAGGTAAATTGAGGTAAATTGAGGGTGTCGATTTCAAATTTTGACATAACAAAGCTTGTGGAACCAATTTGAAAGACAAAACGGTTAGATAAAAATTAAATTGTCAATCTTTCTCTTTGTATAACTCCGTCCGTTTGTTTCCACAAGCTCTGACATGTCAAAATTTCGATTCTACGCCCTAAAATTACCTAGAAAAACAACTTTTGGAATAGAAATTGGTTAATATTAGCTGTTTAGAGCTTTTTTAAAACGCGAAAAAAGGTGCGCTAATGGGCAAGGTGCGGAAAAAAAGGTGCGCAAATGTCCGGGTGCGCAAAAAAAGGTCGCATTTGTCTCACTCCCAAATTTTGGCATAATATTTGCAAAGCTAGAATGATTTTAAAGACTTGATAGTTGTAGTAAAAATTGAAAAGACTCAAACCTTGAATAACCATTCTTATTGAGCTATGTATGAGAGATGTGGAGGGGATTGTTGTGTAGTTGTGATGTGATTGTAGTTTTAATCGTAATAATATGAGCGAAAAGGCTGAGGAATTATCAGAGAAAGAGCTTTTCTCCCTTATCAGAGAAAATTGTGTACTGGTAAGACTTTTTACAAAAAGTAAAACCTATGGTGAATGAAAGCAGTCAATACGATTTAAAAAAGATAAAAAAAATGCTTACAAGCTTGGTTTAAACATCATCACTTTAAAATCAGCTTTCCAGTAAGGTTCCAGTTCAAGTTAGATTTCATAAACTTTCTCAATTTTTATAAATGCTTTTAAAATTACCAAATTACACTTTATCTAGCTGCTTAATCTGTTGCAGAATCTGCAAGAAAAACAAAATCTGCCTGCTCTCAAAAGTGTTTCCTTTGTTTTTGATCTCATTAAAGGATGAGTGAAAATTATTGACCGCGCTCTGATCAGGGTTCTTCTTCGAGGCCATTTGCTAAGAATTTGTAAGTTTAAAATTGAAATTCAAAGTTTTAAACCTGAAAATTGAGTACTACTTGAGCATCTGTGGCTCGATTTTCATCGGTTGAGAAAATCGACGTCAAGACCGCTTTGAAGCCTTGTAATTTTGTTGAAAACTTGTCCACGAAGATTTCATTGATAAATTTCATTGTAAAATAATCAAAATAATCCATAAAAACAAATACAAAGTTAATAAAACTCAGTTTGGCCTTGTTTTGCTTGAATGCACTCGTAAAGACTACCTAGAAAAAATCTTTAATCTGCGCCGCAGGCAATCTTTATCAAAATCGCCTCAATCTTTCGATTTAAGCTGATATGAAAATCACTCCAAATCTTTATTTCAGTGATATTTTAATAGTTCTTTGTTTTAATTTAACAAAATAAGGTTCCTGAAGAGGCTAGAAAATTGACCAAATTGCCCATCAGGGTTGCAAAATCCAAGCGGTATTGAATTGAACAAATTGCCCACCAGAGTTGCACAATCCAAGCGGTATTGAATTGAACAAATTGCCCATCAGGGTTACAAAATCCAAGCGGTATTGAATTGAACAAATTGCCCATCAGGGTTACAAAATCCAAGCGGTATTGAATTGAACAAATTGCCCATCAGGGTTACAAAATCCAAGCGGTATTGAATTGAACAAATTGCCCACCAGAGTTGCACAATCCAAGCGGTATTGAATTGAACAAATTGCCCATCAGGGTTACAAAATCCAAGCGGTATGAGCGGTCGCTCCATCCTAATGGAAGACGCATGGATTGGCCCTAAAATTTGAATGTTTTCCAAAATTAAGCCAAAGATGACCTTTTTTTCTAGCCTCTTCAAAAGCCTTATTTTGTTAAATTAAAACAAATAACTATTAAGATATCACTGAAATAAAGATTTGAAGTGATTTTCGTATCAGCTTTAATCAAAAGATTGAGGCGATTTTGATGAAGATTGCCTGCGGCGCAGATTAAAGATTTTTTTCCAAGTACCGTAACCGTAAAAGCTGTAATAGTAGCCCCTGGGGTATTATTTTTTCGCCCTCTAGGGGTTTTTCTAGGTTTTTCGCCCTCTATTATGGCCCTCTAGGGGCTCACTATTAGAGGGGGGGGTCATTATTTTTCGTTGGCCCTCTAGGGGACTACTATTGAATAGGGGCTACTATTACCGCTTTTACGGTAGTTTTCACGAGTGCATCCGAGCAAAGGAAGGCCAAACCGAGTTTGATGAACTTTTTTGTTGTTTTTGTGGACTATTTTCATTGGTTTACAATGAAATTTATCTTCATGGACAAGATTTCAGGAAAATTGCAAGAATTATAGAAACGGTCAATAATTTTGACGCACCCTGTATACCAAAATACAAGCAAACATGCAAGACTGATAATTCTTTGCTACGTGCTACATTCTTCTACAAGCAGAATTGATAATTTTTGTAGTTTTGAAAAATCGTACAGAGATGGGAAGTCAAAAAGCGTCTTGGGACATTGCTAAATTTTAGGAGAATGGGTGATTAAAGCTGATACGAAAATCACTGGGTGTCATTGTCATTTAGTTTTATCATTCAAATAAGTTACTTGATTGATTTACCTATTTTTGGTTTTATTGAAATTTGGTTCAATAGGATTCATGTAAATTCAAATATCTCTTTGAATTGATCTTAAATTTTACAGTTTCCAAAGTTCCAAACCAAATTTTGTTCCATTTTTCTTAAAACCCCACCAAGTTACCCCACCAAGATTGCGTTTTGCAGAAAATATTTTGCCGGCGCTCTGACCAAGCCTCGTGATAAGGTTTTGAATCAGAAAAATGCAAACAAGATCATTGAATTTAAAGACTTTGATTTATTCAAATCCCATAGATAGACAATACTTTGAACTTTCGCAAGTCGATCAGCAAATGTCCATGAAAAGTCGAAGCAAACATCAGACATTCACTGCTGATTCAGTGCTTTCGTCTCGAACAATAAATTTTTCTTTCATGACGTCCCCAAATTTTGTCCCTTTCAATTCCATTCTTTTCCACGCCTTCCCCCAATTTAGGAGTTCAATCGTTTTTCAAAGACACATGGCCGGAGCTAGCGGCAAAGCTGATAACTTATCACTTTTCTCCTAAAAATTTGGCACCTAATTTCAGCAATTTTTTCGCCGAACTTGCGACACCCGTTTTCGCATTTTCGAAACAATTCACTTTTCCCGAAAAAACAAATTTTTTGATTTAGATTCAGGAGAATTAGATCAAGATAATGATGGAATTGAGATTCTCGTCGGTGCTGGTGTTGGTGTTAGTGATCCAAAGCTGTGGAGGTGATTATCGAAGTCATAACTAAGGCTTGCCTTTATCTTAAAGCTATTTGCTAGTGATTCAAAGCTGTGGAGGTGATTATCGAAGTCATAACTAAGGCTTGCCTTTATCTTAAAGCTATTAGCTAGTGTACTTTGTGCTGAACAAACACACCCTTTCTGGCACGCTATCGTGCACTACCTTTCTTGTGTTTCTTTGAGACAATCGGCCTCATCATAACGTAAAGAATTCGGTGCGATTCAACGTTTGTCCACAAAGTGCAAGTAGAATCTAAGCTATGAGGCTCAACTATTTCACTAGAAATTAAGCTACTTTTAATCTTATTATTTTACAATATTACTTTTCTCTTTGTAATCCTCAAACATTAAGGATTCAGTGCGCCAGATCGGGTGTGATTACCTTTTCGACCGCAAAATACAGGGTAACCGAAAATAAATCGTCCTAATCGTCCGTTCTTAGGCTCATATTTCTATTAGGTTGGAAAGAAAGTTCTTGGAAAAAGTTTGCACAGTGATTTCTCAAAAACTAAACCATCAATTCTGCCCAAATTTTTTGATAAACGGACACCAATAGATAATTTTTTATGAACGTTCAAAAAAATAGCTCAAAAAAAGTAACGAGCCATTTTTCAGCGTACATAAAACATAATCCATCAATCCTATAGTTATGAAATCTTTAAAATATACAGAAAATGATGTGATTTCCATTTAAAAAAGAAATTAATCTTTTTGGTCTACAAATAATAGAAATATGAGCCTAGAAAAAAAGACGGATCTTTTCTGGTCACCCTGTACAAAGAAAGAAGTACCAAAAGCACTAATGCTTTTGGAAAGAGCTAACAGCTGCTTAAAAGATCAAAAACTTTATCAATTCTAAACCTGGCCAATTTCAGCAAGACCCCAAACCTCTGACAATCTTGATGTTGACGTGAAATCGGTCTTGACGTCGATTTTCTCAACCGATGAAAATCGGGCCACAAATGCTCAAGTAGTACTCAATTTTCAGGTTTAAAACTTTGAATTTCGATTTTAAACTTACAAATTCTTAGAATATGGCCTCGAAGAAGAACCCTGATCATGATAATGCTCAGAATCCGTAAAATTTTTGAATTCACCAAAAGATTGACATTTTTCAGATTGTTTACCACAGTTGATTCAGCTCTTTTGAATCGTGTGACGTACAGCGCTTTTCAATCGTTGGTGGTGAGTTATTCGAATTGCTGCCTGCTTGTGTATTACTTAGTTACCGTAAATACTGTAATAGCACCCCACTCCCCTCGTACAGTCGCGTAGTCGCAAAAGTTTTTTAGTATTTCATTTTTTTCAAAGCGCCCGTACTTTCAAAAAATGCGTCTTTGGTATCAAAAAATAGCTGAAATTCAGGGCTATTTTTTGATACCTAAGTGCGCATTGTAGCATAAACCAGTGTCGAGGAAAACTCGTTCAAAGCTAGACTACGCAACACTCCGCACCGTCATTATAGGGGTGGGGTACTATTACAGTATTTACGGTATGTATTTGAATCTGTTTTTATGGTCTTTAATAAACGTATTTTCCCCTAATCACGAAGCTGGCATTAGAAAATAACGTTACCGCTGTTGTTTTCAAGAAAAATTAGCTTTTATATGCGATTTGAAAATCCATAGAGCTTTTAAATCCGAATTGCTTTGTTTTTCAGGTATTCAGTGATTCAATTCAATTGATTAGCTGAATATTTTGAAATGATTGGCAAAGAAAGGGAAATTTGTATTTAAATACCCCGTTTTGCTTGTTAAATCTCGTTTTGCTGTTAAATCAAAAAAATAGCCCTGAATTTCAGCTATTTTTTGATACCTAAGCGCGCATTGTAGCATAAACCAGTGTCGAGAAAAACTCGTTTAAAGCTAGACTACATAACACTCCGCACCGTTATTATGGGGTGGGGTCCAATTACAGTATTTACGGTAGGTAACTTAATTGAATTTTGCAGGCGACTTTCACAACTCCGAGTGTCGATGTGGATGATCCGATGACGTCAGCTCGAACCTCAGCCATCGGCAATTTCTTCACGGCGATTCAAAAACTCAAGTCTTCACGCAAAGCTTCAACTTCTTGAGGGATAATGGTAAAAAAGACAAATGATTTTTGCAAACTAGTAAGATCGAGAACTTCGATCTTAACGAGATTTTCGTTTTATAGAGTAGAATAAACTTGTGCCAGGGAAATCTGATCGATCTATGTCTAGAGTATCATTCTTTGGCTTGCAAATAGTTATTATGCTTACAAAAATCCAGGTATTGTATCCGATGTCTCGACTTTCATCCAACAGCTTAACAAGATCTGGTTCACTCCTTTTCGCCAGGAATTCGGCTGTGGGAAGTTCAGGTGGGGAATTGACAAGAACGTTAAGAATATTGAGTTTATCGGTTTTTTAGGAATGAGATAAATTAAATTTAGGCTTCGAATCATTCTTTGTCGGCGAGACTCAAGGAAACAATGTGATTCGGGCGAACAACTGGCTGGGCTTCTACTTCAAGGAAAGAGACTCCGTTTTTGACTATCATGGATGGTTCACGAAAGTTCCGGTCAGATTTATTATACTATGTAATTTACAACAATGGCGTAAACACAATAACAAAAATCATTGATGCCACTCGATTTCGGCGAGTGTATTTTGTCGCCGCAAAGTTTTCTTTCGTCGATCTGGTTTCGCGTTTTGCACGACCTCCGAGATTTTGTGCTCTTGGAGGCTAGAAATGGGATATTCTTAAGAAATACAGAAATTGAGTTAGGCTTTTGAGAAAATGGGCAGTACACGAGATAAGCACAAAGTGGATCAACAAGAAATAGGCAGAGATAAGCACAAAGTGGATTAACAAGAAATAGGCAGTGATAAGCACAAAGTGGATCAACAACAGGTGGTGATAAAAGACCAGACAAGGAAAAATTTGATATTTTTGAGCTGATGATTTTAAAACAAAGGCATGGATCAAGGGATATATGATGAAAAATGGGCATATTATGTCAACAGTTTTGAGTGCAACGCTGAGAGTTTAAAGCTGACAAAATGAGGAAAAAGGCTTTCTAAAGGGAAAATGGGAAAAGGCTTTCTAAGGCAAAACAAAGCACAGTTTTACAGTAAGGCACATTGTGAATAGCTATTACAATTTATTAATCTTGTATTTATTTATATATTTACAGTTTATTTATGATAATTTATAGACTCCAGTGCCTTCATTACAGTAGGACAGTTTGCCCACTACAGTACAACGAATTACGGTTTACTCATTACAGTATACCTGTTAGTTTTTTCAGCATAGTTACTCATTACAGTAGTCTATTAAGTAAGTCTATTAAGTATGTCTATTACTATTTATCCTTTACAGTATCAAATTCAAATCAAATTCATAGGACAAAAACAGTGTGGCCAACAATTATAGCACCTAGATTGGCCAAAATTGGGTCAATCGTTTTGATTTTTTGGAGATAAGGAATTGCTCCTGGAACGCTACTAATTATCTAATCGATTTAAGCTTTTAACTTTTTTATATAGCCTTCCAAAGTTGAGAGCCTGTAGACCTTTATAATACACTTTACACTTTACAGTGGATGTTAATAGTACTTTTGCGTGTCTTTATAGTCTTTATAGTACAATATCCCAGATTGTAACTGTTACTTTATCTTATTACTTTACTTACAGTACATTTACTACAGAAAACAAATTACAGTCTGCCTACTACAGTAAACTATTACAGTATGCACACTATGGTAAGTGAATTACAGTATGTTCACAATCATATATCACTACAGTGTAACGATAATAGAACCAGTTACAGTATACCAGAGTGCATCAGAGATGATGAACTTAGAACTGAACTTTCTTCTCTTTCTTCCTTCTCTTCCTTCCTTCTCTTTCTTCCTTCTCTTTCTTCCTTTCTCTTTCCACTTAGATTTCTTCTTTCTTCTCTGGCAAGAAGATACCGGATAGTGGTTAGAGCATCAGCAAAAAGGTTGAGAGTTCAATCCCCTCTCCCGAAATCTTTCTTTGCCATTCCTTGCTTTACTTTATTATTATATCTTCAATCCGGCATACTGTAATGAGAAAAGTGAATGGTTACTGTACTCTCAAAGCAAATTTCTACTAATAAATTGCAACTACTGCTCATTAATCTCCAAATCATTAGGAGGAATGAAAACCCCTTGATTAACGATACTTTTACGTTGACAAACAGAAATTTTGGGTAAAGTATGACAATATTCATCGGGCATCTCTCCAGCTTCTTCAATCACCGCTTCCCTCTCCTCCTTTGTTTCTCTCGTCTTGCTTTTAGATTTCTCCCAAATTTCTCGACCAGTAGCTGCATTGGATCCATTCCAGCTCCCTCTATTTTTCGCTTTGTTTCCCGGGTGATCGTTTGGACGGTAGCACGTTCGGCTCTACAAGCACAAGGGAATGGGATTTGAGTGTGATCAGGTGATTTAGATTTATGTTTAGACATAGCTTATCCTAGTTTAGTTATGCTTTTCTTGACTATCCAGTACTAATAAAATTGTATGCTACTGCTCAAAAGAACTATCGCTTCGAAAGTAGACTGAGAATTTTTAGACTTCTAAACTCTATTGCTTGGAAATTTTTCCCCAAAATCACATGGTCTCACTCGAACGGTCTTGTTCAACTGATCGCACCCAACAATCTCAGCAATTGCCTCAGCCAATCGGATGATCTCTTGCACTTTTCCGTCCATATCCTCTGTGTGCTGCTCCACAGCTTGCAGCCGCTTCTCGATTGATAACTTACCTAAAATAATCTTAAATCTTGGAATTTATCTGAAAATGAGAACCTTTACTAACAATTACATCTAAAATCTAAATCTAAATCTAATAAAATATCATCCAATCTATAACAAGACCTTTTCCATCAGCACATACCCTCGTTATGGTGAAACGGTGAAGGACTGGGCTTTCCAATCGTTACCTCCAATTTAATTTCGAGCTGAAACTTGTCAGACTTTGATAATTCATCCATTCTACCTTATCATTAAACGTTCAACTATCATAATATATTATTTCTATTTTTCAGCTAATTCGTTGGTTTTTAAATTGACTTACATCATGAAATACTTAAATTGACTTAAATCGACATCATGAAATACTTAAATTGACTTAAATCGACATCATGAAACACTTAAATTGACTTACATCATGAAACAGTTGATTCCTGCTGTGCTCCATCTCACAAAGCTCCGTCTCGGCATCAAGCAGTTGATACGGTTTTCTCAATCTGGAAGTCTCAATCAGTTTTAGTCTAATTCTTTGTATGCTATCCACCTCTTAAATTTCCGCATGCATCGGAGAAAAGAAGATAAAGTTGAAGAAACGAATGAGAGGACGATACTTTCGAAGAACCTCCTCATCAATGGCTAAACACTAAGTTACTAAACACTAGTTTTCTCTAATAGTAGTGCACCCAAAGCGTCCCCTAAATTGCTCGAAACCTCGAGAACCACTTATCAGAACCTAGTCGATGTGGGTCGGAAAATGTAGCTGACGATGAGATCTAGCGGGGATTTGAGTGTTGAGCTTCTGCAAAAGCTTGGAAACCGTAAAATAGGCATCAACTCGGCTCGCCAGGGTGCATTACTATTAGAGAGAATACGGTATTTATATCAAGAGTTGGAGCTAATCTTATTGTTATTAACTAGCATTAAATTGTAGAATGCAAGAGCCAGTCTTAAAGGAGCTAGACTTAAAGTATGTATTACAAGGGAAGGTCAACTGGTTGAACCGGCCAAATGGTATGTGACCTATACCATTCGACGCAGAATTTTATTCCGAATCTAGCGTATCCTCTCTAATACTACTGCACCCTGAGCGTCGCTTCAATTGCTCGAAATCTCGAGGGCCGCTTACCAGAACCTATCGATTGGGGTCGGAAAATGTAGCTGACGATGAGATCTAGCTGGGGATTGAGAGTGTTGAGCTTCTGCAAAAGCTTGGAAACCGTAAAATACGCATCAACTCGGCTAGACGAAGTGCACTACTATTAGAGTAATCCGTTCTAAAGAAAACCACCATTTATATCGTAACTAGTCCGTTTGCTGTCAAAAGAGGTATTCTCATAGAGCATCTGAAAGATTAAATACAGCAACAAGACATTTTGACTCACTCTGAATATCAACTTTGTCCAAATCGTTGCCATCGAATGAGGAAGAGATTGAGGATGAAGGAGAGGTTTTCTCAAGTCTTGATGCCCGTTTTGCCCAAAGTTGTTTATAATTTAGCAAAATTATCTGCACTGATTGCATTAAATGTATTGAACTTTTGTATTTTTAAGTTCTATCAGTACTTTGGCATCTAAGAAGACCATTTTGCTTTAAAGGAGACTTTAAAGAAGAGATCAGGAATAAGAACCGATTCTCATTAGAACTAAATTATCGGGCAGGCTGGTGTATTCAATTTAAATGAAATTAAAAGTAAATTGATAGCTATCTAATTTTTGTACAAATTTACAGCTAAATTTCTTCTTTTATCATTTACAATGTAAAAAAATCCTTATTTAAAAGTCCCCTTCCTGTTTACATTTTCTGACCCAAATTCTGTTTACCAGTTTTACCGAGAAATACAATATTTGGGTTAATCCAAAATAGAATGAAAAATTTGTTAAAAGTGATTCTCTAAAGCTTTACTTACTTATCTGAATAAGAATTGAGTACAATCCTTGGATAAGAATACTTTATAAGAAAAAGCGCTCAAAGGATTTACACTACTGATGTCAAATGCAAAGATCATATTGCCATTGGATTGTCACTTTCGTAAGCGGTCTGTAACTCCCTTGTCTTTACCAGTATTTCTAAATATTAATATTACCATTGTGTAGCCCTTGGGAAAAGAGCTTCAGAAAATGTATAACACTAACAATTTAAACTCAAAGACACAATGGAGTTACAGACGTGCGAAAGTGACGATCGTTTTTCAAATATACATATTTCATTGGGTCCAGTACTGTACCAAAAGATTCACCATTATTTTTGAACCATTAACATTACCATTACCATTACCATTACCATTACGCATTAACATTACCATTAACATTAACATTAACATTACCATTACCATTACCATTAACATTAACATTACCAATAACATTAACATTAACATTAACATTAATATTACCATTACTTTTATAAACAAGAACCATTACCCTTATCCTTCATCTAAGCTTATCCAAAACCCACTGCCACCACTTCCTTTCTTGAACCCTCGCCGATCCGGCTCGTCCCTACTTTGAGCGCTCTAAACCAGAAAATCTTCATTTCCGGAAATCTCTTACAAAAAGTCCTTGGGATAATCGAGAATCTTTGTAGAGACATTGCCTAAAGCTTTTAGGATATAATTCTTTGAATTCATCAAACCTTTGACAGTAGAGAATCTCTCTTGACAGGAGTCGGCTTTGTATTTGGATCATTGTAGTAGGGCCATCCATTGTCAATTGTGCGATCAACGAGGTGTATCGCAATAGTTTCTTGTCCTTATTCTCCGGTTTTCTTGAAAGTGAAGTTTAGATTTCCGAAAAAACCTAAGTCCCACAGCCTTCGAAGAGCCTGTGCCAATTTCCTTAAAAGAGTAGAATTATTGTTTACTGCAAGGCTTTCATGATCTGGCTAGATACGTTTTCAACTCACTTTTCCGTATTCTTTCCATATTTTCCCTTGATCTTCTTGTGCAATCTCTTGTCTTTTTAATCTTTCCATCAGCCAGATACACTCTGACAAGCACACATGCCTACAATGTAAAAGTTTCAAGCTTTTAGTCTTTTACTAGCTTTTTTGGTTCCAAGCACTAAAACTCACTTGAAATATGAAATCGTGTCCCATGTCTGTTTCCGATTCTGTGGCAAGATGATAAAGGAAACTCACCAAAAGAGCTTGAAGCATTAATCACAAAAAAGCTACCAATGTTGGAATCACTTCAAGGGCAGCTCCCTCACTCTCGAGTATTGCTTGTCTTTGTCTCACTTTCCATCATCAATGCCATTCCGACTGAAAATGACAAGCTATTGGTGCTTTTGTAAGAGGTAATTTAAAGTACTACCGTAACTTTTCCTTCAGATTTTGCTCGTTCTCCTTAATTAACGTCATGGCTACAGTAATGGCTACAGTAATGGCTACAGTAATTCCCTCTGATTAATATATTTACAAGGTCATAAGTGACTACGGTGGATCTTATGACCAACAAGAGCCCCTCTATGACTGGCTGAACTGCAGAAATGCTATGCGATCTATACCATTCGACGCAGAATTTTACGCTGATTCCGAACATATATCCCGTTTCTTGCTAAATGACAACCCATCAGGAGTTATAAGGGCCCAAAGTTTAAAGAACACTAATCAACACTTTTGATAAAAGCAAGAGAAAAATCTAGAATTGAACCGGGACCGGAATTTTGCGTGGTCTCGCTCTGGAAACGTACGCTGTACTATTTGGTCTAGTTGCACTAAAAACCCTCTGCAAAAAGGCTGCTTAAACCCAAATGACCATATTTTCAGAGCCCTAACAAAACCTTAGACGCTTATGACTTCTGACAAATAGTCATTTAGTTAAACGGAATATATATTCGGAACCAGTATGTAACCTCTGGTGTCGAATGGTATAGGTCGCATAGGATTTCGCCTGCTCAACCAATTGACCTTCCTTTGTAAGTAGTAATACTTTTAGATTCACGTATGCAATTTATATAAGCATTGCAGTAACACCGGAAGTTTCTGCTAAAGTTCATTGTGACCTCGTTTCCTTATGAAATCTTTCCCACTATCCAAGCAACAAACTTCAAAATGATCTTGTTGCTATTTTTCTCCTTCTTTTCCCCTTCACTCACCCGAGACCAAAGTCGAGGCATGTTGATGGGGGTGCAATAAATGGCATACGCGAGCACACACGTAATCACTTTTGATGGCCAGTGCTTGGGGACAATATCACCATAACTGAGAATTGTAATTTTTAAGAAAATTTAGAAATTTTCAACAATTTTATTAGATTAGTTCAAAGTACACAAATTTCTCAATCCTTCTATCCATTACAGTTTGTTTTAGGTAAAGCTTACTGTAATGGAGCTTACTAAGCTATCCATTACAGTAAGCTTTAGGATGAATATATTTTATAACTTCAAGAAGCCTTGTTGATTAAGCCTTATTGTAGCCATGTAATTGCAACTTTACCATACTTTTAGCTGATTCTTACCCTGGTTTACTTCTACCCAATAGTCAAGAAGAGACACTGGTAAACCATACATTGCATCTCCGTAGTTGTTAAAAGTTGAATCAATCCAAAAATTTCACAAGGATTTTTTTGAAAACCTTTTACTCCAACTTGCTTCTGTCTCATTTTTCACTTTTATGTTGTGATTCCGATCGTTACGCGATTCCATCTCATAAACGGATAACGACATCACCAACGCTAGCAATGAGCAAATGTAGTTGGTTGCTGTGAGCTCGAATCTGAATTCACCCTTAGAACTTCTAGTAAGATTGCCTGATTCGGAACACTTTTCATCATTCTTGAGCTCTTTTCACTTACAAAGCTTCTCAATGTCACTTTTCTGATCATTTCCCTATGTAGTCATTTGTCGATCGATATGGAAAAGTCGGAGAATTTGTACAAACGCAACACGTCAAGAAGGACACCACTTAAATCTTTTCAATTCTCACCAACTCATATTCAAAACCGATTCTTCTCTCTGTCGATGAAGAGCATTCCAAAAGTGACCAAAATAATAAAGCATATCAATCATGCAGACAAGACGACAAGCGTAATAGAGAAACCTGAAGCTTGAACTAGATTTGTAACAAAAACATCTTCACTTGGCATTCTCTGACTTTTTCCGCGACAATTTGCTGTTTTCTCTCAGCACAACCCCTTTTGATTTTGTTTTTTTTGATTATCATTTGATGCAGAATAAAATTGCGCATCGAATGATACTAAAATTAGCTCAAAATATAATATCCACGTGCAAAGTTGTCTTCTACAAACCTAAACCCGCTCATTATGGGCGGGACTTATCGCTTGTTGTTGCTAATTTAAGGTTTTCTGGTTTTTCTCAGCAATTAACTTTTCGATTTTGATTATCACCGATGCAGAATTAAATTGCGCATCGAATGATATCAAAAACCAACTCAAAATATAATATCCACGCAAAGTTATAAGACAAAAGGCTAGCAGATAACGAGTGGGGCTTAGGTTTCAAGCCAACAACTTTTGCATGGATATTAAGCATTTTGAGCTAATTTTAGTATCATTCGATGCGCAATTTTATTCTGCATCGAATGATAATCAAAATCGCAAGATTTGTGCTGAGAAAAACAATGAAAACCGTAAATTGCCAACGATAAAAAAGGACCGACAAATGTTTTTGTCAAAAGTCTAGTACAAAACAGGTCAATACTTGACAGTTTCCAGGCTCTAGGCTTGACTTGTAAGCCTTGACTTGACCAGGAAACTATTTTTATGTTTTACAACTCCTTTGTGTCTGTTCTCCAACAAAAGATCAAGTCTCACCCATAACGAGCGGGGTTTGGGTTTTTAGCCAACAACTTTGGCACATGGATATTACATTTTGAGCGACATTTGATATCATTCGATGCGCAATTATATTCTGTATCGAATGATAGTCAAAATCGAAGGGTTGATCCTGAGAAAAACATACAAAAACACGGCAAAAAAGAACCGACAGATTTTTCGTTACAAGTTTAGTTTAAAAGGAACAGGCCAAAGGATAAATAAGAATAAAGCTATAAACATCTAACAATTGTACGCAAAATCGGCTATGCTATATCTAAATTCTTTATATTTCCGCATCAGCACCAATTGACCAGATTCTGATCGCGAACTCGAGAATGAAAAAGATGGCCAGCACCAATTTCCATAATGAAATTGACATTGTAGAACTAAAAAAGGGCTTTTTTTTAATGCAAATTAATTGATTTTGAACACCACTGACAACACTTACTTACCAAGAGATTGGAAAAGGTTTCTAAAATGAAATATATTAGTTTTCGAGTTTTCTGTGTCAACGATCAATAGTTTTCCAACGGAAAATGCCATTGTTTGGCCAATTTCCCTTCAATCTTTTTTATCTTTGATTTCAACCGATAGAAAATTCAAATTCTGCATCAATTGATATTAAAATCAAAAGATCCGAAGGAAATTGACCGAGATATGCTATTTTTCAGTTGCACACCGATTGCAATATTGCTTTTGTTAATGGTCATCGAAAATTCCCAGTTTTAGAATAGATTCTGGCCTAATTGATTGGCTTTTTTTTATTTCAACTCACAGTTTTATCATCCGGACTTTAATCAGCTAAAGCACCAACAATAACTAAGATCAAAACAAATGTAAAAAATACCTAAAGATTTCTTGTTTTTCGTTTAATTCTTGAAAATTTTATAGATTTATATGTTTATTAGATTCTTGTCAACTTACTGAAATGATATGGGAAATTTGAAGCTGATCGGGGATTAATGAGGAAATTAAAACGGCAAAAGCGGCGTCGTTTATACTCACGCTCGTAGTCTGTGAGTTTAGTATAAAAATTTTCACATTTGTATTGAAGTTTTAGATCTAAAAGTTTCACTTAGGGTTTGGCTAAACTACTTAATTTCTTACAAAAGCTAGTTTTTAATCAAAACAATAGAAAATAGTCTCAAAATGAAACAGAATCAATGGGAGAACCTCCCATGATCAAATGTCTAAAAATCGACTTTTTCGACTTTTTTACTGAAAATTTGAACTTTTTTTCTTGACCAAATACAGTAATCATTTAGAGCTTTTTAAGATTTTTATCAAAAAGACCAACCAGTGAGTCGAATAGTGTCCCTTCTCGATACCGGATTGTTATTTCACTCCGAGATCCAACGGACGGAGAACCACTGTTCATAATATGCACTGAAATTTTTCATTGAAAAGTCTTCATATCTTTGAATTTTGGGCACAATGTACCCAAATCCTATTCATTCAATTCATAGCCATTATCTAGAAAATTTATTAGCTCTCAACATTTTTGAGTGCATTGAACTCATCTTTGAGGTCAGAGCTGGGGATACGCCTTAATGGGGTGACTTTTGAGCTTCTTTGTCTCTTTTGAGACAAAGTTCTAAATAAAAACTAATTTTTCATAAATTGTATATAAATATAATAAAAACCATGGCATATGATAGGTTTTTAAATGATAAAACAATAACGAAATAATTAGTTGACATTTTTGTAGTGCTTTTTAGCTCGATTGGACTCCTTTATCCTCATCATCTTCAAACAATCTTTCGCAAATATTCTTCAGGTGTCAATAAACAAAATCTCAGAAAATTTAGTGCTAAAATTTAGAAAAAGAATACGAATTCGTCAGAAATTCGAATCAATTTCGATCATGGGTGGAATGAATTCTAGACGTGGGCGTCCCAAATTTCCCCAAAAATCTGATTTTGTTTAAAAAGTCGTTAAATTCACGCCAAAGGAAGCACAAACATTCCCCAGTCTTTTTTAGGCAATCACAAAGTAATAAAACGAAATTAGAAATGGTTGGGATTGATAAGTGAACGGGAAAGCGGGAATCGATCAAAAGAAACTGATTTGAGGCCAGTCGGGTAGTTGTAAAGTTTTGGAAGAATTAAATGCACCAAAAATCATTGTTCAACTCTTATCTACTCTATATAAAGCAGAAGAGACGTTTGTCTGTCCGTCTGTTTGCCCGCAAAAAGGGGCGGGACTTAGATTGCGTGGAAAACGAGAACGTTAGTGAGCGCTTTTTGCTGTCAATATAATAATATATGATATATAAAACATAATACAGTGCGTTTCAAATTCTTAAACGCACCCTCTAAAATAGCGGATTTTGCATTTTGACCACCGCTACAACTATTAATCTTTTTCTATTAGAAAGAGCATGTCTTAAAACCTAAATAACACGAAAAAGAAGCATACTGTAAAAAGTAAAAATTTTCAAAATAGAAACTTTTTGCTAAATCAACCGTTTCAAATTCTTAAACGTACTATGAAAATATTTTTATTTATCGACAAAAATTAAAAATCAAAGGTAAAAAATCAAAACTAATGATCTGTACACGCACCAGAACGATTAATTACTTGAAAAATGCGGTCTGACATTGAATTGATGAGGTTTTGAAGAGCAGAGACGTCGAGATCGCTCCAGGCCGAAAAAATTGCTGCTTTAAGTGCAGAAACGTCTTGAAACTGACGCTGATTCTTGTAGACAGCTCGGACAAGTATTCCCCATAAATTTTCTATCGGATTGAGGTCAGGAGACTGAGCGGATCAGTCCAAAGTTGCAATGTTGTTGCTGTTCAGCCAGTTCAGTGTGTCTCCGGCTCGATGAATTGACGCGTTGTCGTGTTGAAACAAATCGGGAACGGTTGGATTTAGGAGCCAAAATGGCAACAAGCAATTGTTCAAGATATCTATCTAGTCATCCGATTCGAAACCATCTTCAGAGCGACCGTTCCATCAGCAAAAAAGGCGGCCCAAACCATCACAGAACCACCGCCAAAGTTTCGAGTTCCAAACACCATCGGATCACGTCGAAGATCCCTCCAATAGTAGCCAACGCCATCGGGGCCATCCAAATTCCATTTCTTCTTATCGGAAAAGATCACCTAAACGCAAAAAAATAATAAAACATAAGCGGATTTCCAACCATAGACCAATTTTGATTCATATGAGTCTTGGCGAAGGCCAATCGGGCTTTCTTGTGCAAAAGCTTCACGGTCGGTTGGATGTTCAATAATTGTTGATCGATATGTGCGTTTTTCCTTGATGGCTCGCCAAATTTTCGACTTCGAAGAGTCGATTTTCCGTTCCGTTTTCACTTCATTGATCGTTTTCCTTGGATGTTGTTCATAATATGGCGTCTAGCT